GCTGAAAGGGGCGGTCATCGCCGAGACACCTGGGTTAAGGCTTCTGGAGTCTCGGCCATGTGTTCTGCCGGCTGCCACTCCTCCTGGTCCCGAGGCCCTGGGCTCAGTCCTTCCACCTCGCCCAGTCTCCCTCCCTCCCTCGAACCCTCCCACGATCACATGCCTGCCCCCTCCTGTGTGGGGATGCCTACCCCATCAGCGCTCGCAGCCAGGACCGCTGTTCCCTTCCCCTCTGGCACCCACTCCTCAGGGGACTCTGCTGCCTACCTGGGAAATACCTGCCCCGACAGTCCTGCCTACCCCGGGGCCTGGCCATCAACTTCTGTGCCAGGACCGTGGCAGTAGCCACCTGGAGCTATCTCAGTCAGTTGACCACACAGCTTAAAGTGGGCATTTTCAGATGGCTTCACTCTGACCAGTCGCTGCGGCTGGAGCTCCTTTGAGATCAGAAGTCACCTTTGGATTCAGGTTTAAAATTGTCATCCACCCCTTTGTTGCCTTTGCTACCTTGTGCATGCCTTGTTGTTTCTCCTCTGATGCCTGTTTGTCTTCCCTGCCTTATGGACTGAAACCTCTACGAACTGTAAGCCAAATAAACCCCTTTCCCTTTAACTTTAAAAAATAAATAAATGGTCATCCTACCCTGCTGTCCTCCTGTCTTGTACCCTACTTGGCTTTTTTTGGTAGCAGGGATCGAACTCGGGTCCTTGTGCTTGCGCGGCAGGCGGCGAAACCACTGAGCTAAATCCCTGGCCCACTATGAGATTGTGATTTTTTTTTTTTTTTTTTGGTACCGGGTATTGAACTCGAGACCTTGTGCTTTCGAGGCAGGCAGCAGAACCACTGAGCTAAATCCCTGGCCCCCCTACTTGGCTTTTTCTTGATGTTTTTATCAGCAGGGAGGCTGATTTGTTCTGCTGCACTAGACTGAGATCAGGGCTTCTGTCTGGTTTGTGTAACTGCTGGTTAATAGAAGATGCCCAGGAAAACTGTTGAATTGACTAGTGAGGATGCAAAACGATACAGTAAAAAATAAAGGGTAATCTGATTAAAAAAAAAAAAAGATTGAGTACACATATACCTCTTGCGACCCTAATTGCTGTTGGTATTTTTTGTTTTGTTCTTGTTTTTGTTTTTTCAGATTGGGTCTCCCTGTGTGGTTCAGCCTGGACTTGAATTCCTTATGTATCCCAGGCTGGCCTCAAACTCATGGCAATCCTCCTGCCTCAGCCTCCCAGTGCAGGGATTACAGGCATAAGCCACCACACCTGGCTCAACTACTGTTTTTTTGTAATATTTGTGTGTGTGCTATGTCATAGTTTGGCCTGGAACCAAGCTGGAGAGAGTAGAATTGAATTTAGGTTCAGATAGACATGGTGGTCTTTATTTCTCTAGTCTGAAAACTCGCTTACTTAGGCCAGGTAACACTGGCGTCAAGGAGCATGCCATGAATATCATAGTCAGCAGAGGCTGCAGGAGCTCACTCCATGGCTGGGCAGTGACCTGGGGCCGGGGCCTGCTCTGGGCCTCTGCCTGGCTCCTGATACGTGGGATGTGCTGGTGTTTCGTGTCACGATGGGCGTGGGTGGGCGAGTGGCGCGTGTAAACCAGCGGCTCCTCCAGGCGGGCAGCTGAGAGGACGCCCACAGCCTCTTCCTTAATGAACCCTGACTAGAGAGGGTCAGAGCTGGTGCGTCTGCATGCTTACAAGTCCTTTGCCTTCTTTTTAACGCAGTCCCAGGACATCAACGCCCTGCAGAAAGAGCTGGAGCAGTTTGCCAAGCTGCTGAAGCAGAAAAGGATCACCCTGGGGTACACGCAGGCCGACGTGGGGCTCACCCTGGGCGCCATCTTCGGTGGGTCCCCTCAGCATGTGCTCACTTCGCTGGGCGGCCTGACCGGGCTGGGCGGGGCCGGGGGTCTGGGGCCGGAGGAGGCCGGGCTGCGGGCTGGAGGAGCAGGCAGGCGCCCTGCCGACTGTGTCCGTCCTCACCGGCCTCCAGGGAAGGTGTTCAGCCAGACCACCATCTGCCGCTTTGAAGCCCTGCAGCTCAGCTTCAAGAACATGTGCAAGCTGCGGCCCCTGCTGCAGAGGTGGGTGGAGGAGGCTGACAACAACAACGAGAACCTTCAGGAGGTAAGGGGGGGCGCGGGCCTGCCACTGGGCCATTGTGCTCACAGCATCCCCAGCCTGCAGCAGCGCTCCTCCGCTGCCCACCATTCCCCTTCTCTTTGGCACCGGGGATCAAACTCAGGAGCTTGTGCTTTTGAGGCAGGTGGTGGCACCACTGAGCTAAATCCTCGGGCCTCTTGCCCCCTCTTTTTGAGACAGGGTCTGGCTGTGTGTTCCGGGCTGACCTTGAACTGTGGCGATCCTGTCGGCCTCCCAGGTGCTGGGATGACCAGCGTGCGCCACCATGCCCAGTCCCCTTCCTCTTTTCTCTGGCTTTTGTGGTGCTCTAGGGACTCCACCCAGGGGCCTGCACACGCCCTGCAGGATTGAGCCCAACCTCCGGCCGAGGGCAGCAGTTCTCAGGCCGTGTGTCCCCTTCATTCTGCTGGGGGACGGCCCAGAGACCCGGCTGCGCTCGCCCGCCCGCACCCCCTTTTCTCCCCAGCGGAGGAGACATCTAGGGAACCCTTCCTTCGCGGGGGTCCCAAGTCACCCCTCCCTGCGCACCGCACTCAGCCGGCCCACAGGCCCGGGTCCACCCCGTCTCCCTCTCCCTTCCCAGAGATGCAAAACGGAGAGCCTCATGCAGGCCCGGAAGAGGAAGCGGACGAGCATCGAGAACCAAGTGAGAGGCAACCTGGAGAACATGTTCCTGCAGTGCCCGAAACCCACGCTGCAGCAGATCAGCCGCATCGCGCAGCAGCTGGGGCTCGAAAAAGACGTGAGTCCCCACGCGTGGCAATGTGGGGGCTTTGGGGAAAGCGACAGAACCGAGCCGACCCGCCTCCTGAGTCGCGCCTAACGCCGCTGTCCTGTGTCCTCCGCTTCAGGTGGTCCGAGTGTGGTTCTGTAACCGGCGCCAGAAGGGCAAACGGTCGAGCATCGACTATTCCCAGCGAGAGGATTATGAGGCTGCGGGATCTCCTTTCCCGGGGGGACCTGTATCCTTTCCTCTGGCCCCGGGGCCCCATTTTGGTTCCCCAGGCTACGGAAGCCCCCACTTCACCACACTGTACTCCTCGGTCCCTTTCCCGGAGGGGGAGGCCTTTCCCCCGGTGTCCATCTCCGCACTGGGCTCTCCCATGCACTCAAACTGAGCTGAGGCGCTGTCTTTCCCAGGGGTGGCAGGTGGAGGAAGGGGAGGAGCTAGGGCAGGGGCTGGAGTCTACCAGGGCTTTGGGGTCAAGTTCTTCATTCACTAAGGAAGCCATTAGAAGCACACAGGGTGGGGGCAGGGAGTTTGGGGGAACCGGTTGGAGGGGAGCGGAAGTTCAATGATGCTCTGGATTTTAATCCCCTCATCACTTTGATTTTAAATAAAGAAGCCCGGGGCACAGTAGATACTTTGTCTCTGGTTTTCCTTTAGTTAGGGATGGAGGAACCCAATGATAGACACTAACTGCTCTCCCAAGGGGGAGCTGGGATTGGGGCCCGAGCTAGTCTATAGAGGGTTCCTGTAGGCAGGAGGGCACTGCTGGGGTCTGCAGGGTTTCAGCTGAATGCTGCCCTGTCCTCAGATTCTGCCCGCAGATGCAGGTGCTTACCCCATTGCCTGGTGGGACCTGGCTCTCTGTGTCACCGTGGTGCCCTGAGTCCTCGGGCTCTGCATTAAGAAATAAGGTCCTCAGATGCTGGTTCTGCTGCACGTTGCCTGGCCAAAGCTACTCTCTGTATTCTTTTGTTGGGTACTGGGGCTTGAACCCAGACTTCTGTCTGCACCGAGCTAAACCACCACCTGTTTATATCTGCCTGTCTGTCATTCATTGATTCATTTACTGTGGTGCTGTGGTGCACCGAGCCACATCCCCAGCCCTTTTTATTTTGGAGACGGGGTCTTACTGGGTCGCCCAAACTATCCTTGAATTTGCAGTCCTCCTGCATAGCTGGGACTACAGACGACCGCCCCGGTGCCCAGCTCCTGTGCTTTTTCCACACCAGGGTCCATTTGGCTTCCACTCAGGTTTTGAGATTCTTGCATCCTTGTCCATAAGTGACTCTCCAAGTAACCTTATCTCATTTCTGGCTCTTCCAATAGCTAACTAGGGGCCTTTGCTTTTCAGCAGTTTCCTTAATGTGGGGAGAATGTGGGTCGCAGTAGACCAGGTCGAGGTATAAGGCTTTCTTAACAAGAACTGTAGGAGAGATGTGCTGCTTCAGTGATGCATTTCCACAAAGGAAATCATTTGTACAATGTGTGCATGGGTTAGAAGGCCAAGCCACACAGGGCCAGATCAGCATCTACTCTCCCTGGTAGTACTGGTGACTCTTATAAAAGCTGTCATCCATGAACTTGACCAAGTCCCAAATACCTTAATTTATTTGGGGTTTTTATTTATTTATTTATTTATTTAGGTACTGGAGATTGAACTTGGGTCCTTGTGGTTGTGGGGCAGGTGGCAGAACCACTGAGCTAAATCCCTGGCCCAATTTAGGGTTTTTTTTTTCCCCAATTTGGGGTTTTAAAGACCAGACAGGAGCTTGCTGTGCCTCCCTGGGTGGCCTTGAACAACTGACCCTCCTGCTTCAGGCTGCTGACTCCTGGGCCTACAAGTTTGCACCACTGTCCCCAGCCAACCACTACTGTCATGGAAATGGGTCTGCTTTCTCCTTAGCTAGGAAGCTTAATTACTTGTGTTCCTCTTTTTTCCCTTTTTCTGTTTGCTCTAGCTCATCCCCTCCATTCACCTTTCCAGTGAGCAGGTTCCTATAGTCCTCTGCTCATCCCCCATGCCCTTCTGAGGATCTGAATTCATTGTCTAGACTTTACCAAGTCTATTCACCCAAGAATTGAGAAACAAAGCATCTCAGAACAGCAAGTACCCGGGAGTGGATAAAACTGCTTGTTCTTTATTTGGAAATAAAAGCAAAGGTCTGGAAAGCATAGGCTGCAAACCAGCCCAGGTTCACTGAGGTCATGGTCAGCAGCAGGATCAGTCAGTATGAGGACTTTTGGGGACTGCGTGCTGTTTGCCAGAGTACCTTAGCTGGTGCCTAAGAACATTAAGAACTCCATCTTTCCAGGCATGGCTTCTGAGATTGCTGGGTGCTGCTGGGATCTTCTAGTGTCCAAGGCAACAAGGCCTTACATCCTGTAACGGGGGACATCCCAGCTCCTGGCAGCATGGTGGGGGGGCGCAGCACTTTCTTTGGCCTGCTCCAGGCCCTGAATCAGTATCCATAGCAACCTCTCCTTGGAGTCATTCCCTCCTGCAGAGGGAAGGGAAGCATTCTTAGGGTCTAGCTGCACCCCACTGTGTCCAACTGGATTGGAGGTTTCTTGGTGGGCCTCAGATCTGGGTGCCAACACGGCACCTTGGGCATCGGAAGTCCGCCTCCCTGGCAGCTTGGATGCTGCAGCCAACACAAGCCATGTGGTACCAGATGTCACAACCATCGCACTGAACCCAGGCTACTTTTTCTTCCCGGGGCAGGCTGCAACCAGGGGCTGCACAGGGCTCCCCGACCCCAACTGCAGGGTGAGCCATGTGGGTGCTCACTGGGAGCTTCCGAGGACGGCCACGTCGATTTCTGAAGGAAACGACAAACACCAGGGTCACCGAAAACCTGCAGAAGCCTTGGTTTTGGCCCAGGGTAACCGGCCGAGCCCTAGATAGCCTCAGATAATGTGAGCCTGGGAAATGGATTCCCCATCTCTTTTTTGGAGACAGAATCATCCTATGCAGCCCACACTGACCCTGAACTCTGTCCTGGAATTACAGATACACAACACCCTCCCCATCTGACTCCCCATCCCTGTCTGTTAGAAGAATGCGGTTAAAGTCCTAAAAAGTAGGAACTTAGAGCTGGGGTTGTAACTCAAGAGGTAGAACTCTTGCCTAGTATGTGTAAAGCTATGGGTTCCATCCCCAGTCCACCAAAAAAGGGTAGGAACTCCTTGTCTGCCAACCCGCACAGTGTAAGAGTTTGGTTTTCACGGTTCTGGAGATCCAACAGTGCTCATGCTAGGCAAGTACTCTGCCACTGAGCTACGTCCCTAGGCCCAGCCCAGTGGGTCTCTCCCTCTCTTGACGGGTCGGTCTCACCAGTTTGCCCAGGCTGGCCTCGAACTTGGGATCTTCCTGCCTCCACCTTCCAAGCAGCTGAGATTAGAGGCCACCATTCTGGTTTTAACCACTACTACACCAACTAATTTGCCTCCTGTAAATATGTATCCGTCAGCGGTAACTTAGGTCTCACCACTCCGGTGTCCAGCCTCTGTCCCCTCCCACCGGTACCTGCCCAGCAGAGGGGCCTCACAGCCTGAGGCTCTGAAAAGGATCCAAAAGGCAGTGAAATACGGGCAAGCCTGACAAGACCTCAAGGACTCTGCTTACCCACTGGGTGTCCGTGGGGCTTTCTCCACGCAGAGCTTCTTCCTGGGCTCTGTAAGCACCGGGGGGCTCTGGGGAGCCTCACTTTCATCATCCAGTTCTGCCAGGACTCGGTGGGCTGATTTCCTCCGGTTTCTTGGGGGTGGGCCAGGCATGGGCCCCACTTCCTGGGGTGGGGTGGGAACGGACAGACTCTGGGCCCCACCCCCGCCCCGGGAGAAGGTGAGGGGCTGGGGCTGGAGCTTGCTGAGGCTGCCGATGGAGCTGAGGATCAGAGTGGCCTTGGGAGCAGGGCAGAGGGTGCTGAGGGGCCGATGGGGGGCCCCCTGGGGGGGCAGCACAGGCTGGAAACCAGCTCTGGGCCCAGCTTCTCTTGACCGAGGGATGGTAATGGCAGCAAAGTCCTGAGGTTTGACCCGCACTTGCTGGAACATGAAGTAGAACTCCGAGGGGCTGGAACCCGGGGGCTCTTCAGGGCCAAAGGTCAGGAGGTCACCATCATTCAACTCCAGCCTGTGGCCCCTGGGGAGTCGGACATTATTGACCAAAGTCCCTGTCAGTGGCGGGGCATGACACAAATGACAAGAACAGAAACGACTAGTCAGGAGTAATCTGACCCTGTTCCATTTTCAGGGGAACACAGGGAAGAGCAATTGAATTCTCCCAGGACCCCTTGGCCGGTGACCCCACACACACACTCCTTGTTGGCAGGAGGTGAGTTTATTTTTCTTGAACCCTCCCGTAAGTGGGCTCCTTCCTCTGCACCGAGGTCCTGGTCTCTCGGTTACTTTTTGCCAGCTCCAACTTGCAAAGTTGGCATTGCTCTCACTGGCTCAGATTCTGGCTCTACCACTTCCCAGCTCCATTTCCTAACCCATTTTCTTTGTAGATGGAGAGTGTCAGAGCCACCTACATCAGTACATTTGGACCGTGCCTAGCTCAGAACCAGAAGCACTGAGTGAACATCAGCCATGCCATAGCCTAATGCTCACAGCACCTCCAGGACGAGTTCACCATGCCTGTGTTTACCTGACAGGGGATCAAGACCTGGAGAGGTCAAGTGACAGGCCTGAGGTTTTGCCAGGCTCTAGTGGCAGAAAACCATAAGCACTGAACCATAAGGCCTCTGAGCCGTCTTAAGCTGGGAAGAAAGACATGCCAGATCCTTAAGATATACTCAATACCTGGCCAGATGCAGAAAGGGGTGCCTCCGCAAAGCTGGAAACTGAGTCAAGTTCAGCCTGGCCCCAGAACACTGCTACTGTGACACTTGCCTCTTGATGACCCGGGCCCTGGATCTACCTCCCAGCCCCTGTGCATGCTAAATAGGCCGAGCAAGGGTCAGTCCTCAGAAGGCAGATGGAGCCCTGACTGCTGAGCTGACAGGGCCGGGAGGCGGGGCCGGGCCCTGCCCTTTGCTCACCTTGGGTGCTGTGGTCCTCCAGGCTGACCCTCCAGTCATCGCCCCTGCGCTCAGCGTGCAGCTCCGCGTGGACCCCAGAGATGAGGCCAGGCTCCTGCTGGGGCCGCAGGGCCACATCGCACAAGTCCGCCCTTCGGCCCAAGCGGTAGGTACAGCCAGCCCCAGTGGGCGGGTGGAAGGTGTAGAGGTCGCCACCCCTGCCGCCCCCTATTCGCAGCAGCTGGAAGCAGGGCAGCATGGGCAGTACCTCCTCCGCACTTCTCGCACTAGGAGTCCATCGCCTGGCCCCGCGCCCGCCTGCTAGTCTGCTGCACACGGGTTCGCCGCGTGTAATTTCAACTGGGAGCACACGGCTGAGTAGTGCAAATTAGGGCGCGAGCAGCCTGGGCACACAATGCAAAACTGGCTTTTCAGCAGACTGGTGACCTTAGGAATCCGCGAAAGGGCCGGGCGCAGGGCAGGAACGGCGGAGCGTCCCGCGGCGCCTCAGCTGAGCTGGGTCGTCGTCCTCTGCCAAACATCCGGGAGCTCCAGTCTGCAAGACAAGGACACGTTAGGCAGCTCCAGGCAGTGCCGGAGGCTGTGGTCCTGTGACGCGGGCAAGGAGTCCGCTGCCAAGCTCGCCTGGGGGATACAGCCCCCTTCTGCACGTCCGCGCCCCGCCCTTCTGGCCAGACAGAGCCTCTTCAGAGCCAGGCTGGACCCGAGGGAGAGGATCCGCCGTCATCCCCAAGACTTTAACCCCTCCTTTCAGCCTCTTGGTGCGGAGTATAAACAGGAAGGAGCTCCTCGTGACCCTGCAGGGCAAACTCGGCCTTTTCCCTCCCGACCTCAGCCCAGTTTCAGGTCTACCCGTGCCGCGGTCTGGGTGGGCTCCGGCTGGGCTGTACTCCTCGAGTCCTCCGCCGGCGCCGGCGCTCCCGCCGCAGTTTGACAGCCAGGAAGCCCGGGCAGGGAGGGGCACGGCCTCTACGCGCGGGCAGCGCCGACTCCGCCTTCAGAACGCCCAGCGCGAGCGAGCCCGCCCCATGCCTTTTCTGATTGGCTAGCTCATTCGCCCTCCTGCACTCTATTGGGCAGTGCTTGGAGTGGGTCCCTCCCCATCGAGCTCCCGCCTTTTGCCTTTTCTGATTGGCTTACAGGTTTTCCCGGGTTCCCGGGGTGGGGAGGAGTCACCAGGGCGCGGAGACGCCGGGCGCGTTAATTGGGCCAGCTTTGAACGCTACTGCGCCTGCGTACACTTGCCTCTCCTTCCAGGTTGAAGTAGAGCTCCTCCAAGGGCCCGCCAACCCACCCGCCTTACGCAGGCGCTCTCAGGGGCGGAGGCGGGCGGGGAGCCGGGGGCCGAGGGGCGCTAGAGCTGGGTAAGGGGCGTTCCGGAAGTGTCGGTTGGGGGAGGGAAGGGGCTGAGAGGGGGCGCTGGGGTGGGTTCCGGGGGTCCGTAGAGAAAGGGGGCAATGAGGTGGTCAGGGCGGCCTTAGAACTCGGGGTCCACGAAGGCAAAGGAACGGGAGGGGAGGAGGGGGGCGAGCGGGATCTTAGCTGGGCTGGGTAGGAGTGCTGGGCCAAAGCTCTTCCTTCAGGAGAAAGGCAGATGAGGAGAAAGCCCGGGCGGGGCCGTGGCGCTGAGAGGGCGCGGAGTGGCGCTTCTGCCCCCGGCTCGGAGCTGCCCGAGCCCGGGTCCCTGGGGAGCAGCCCTGCTGTGGCTAGGCCTGGGCCCCGCGCTTTGGTCGGGAAGGACCCAGGAGCCATGGCTTGGTGGCGCCTGGATGGGCTTCCGCCGGGCCTTCCTGAGCTGTGGAGAGAGCTACGGAGATTGGGCTCTGGGCCCCTGCGCTGGGGACCTCCGCCCTGCCCTCCAGCCCGCAGCCGCAGGGATCCGAGAAACTTGAGGAGGCTAAAGAGGCTGCTCGGGGTCCTGCAGTAGGGGTGCGGCCTGAGACCTCCCCACAGGCTCCAGTCTCAGTAAACTCTCCAGCATTGTTTATTGGCTGGCACTGTCAGGAGTCAGGTTGGAATAAGCAAGTGGTCTGGGGGAATCGCCTGCCCCTTTGAGGAAAGAAACTGCTTGCAGTCGGGGGGACCTGGCTGTAATTTAAGGATTATGACTTTGCGTGGTGGAGGCTTGCTCTTTGGGAAGGTGGCTTGAAAATTGAGTCGGGGTATCCTTGTTTGTCCCATTGTCCAGGGGAATGTAGATGACTGGAGACAGAACCTAGAGCTTTCCAGTACCAGGGAGATGTTGCCACCTTCAGGTCAGCAGGGTGCCAGGGGGAACCTGATGGCTCTCCCCAGAGAACTGACTTCCTGCTCTCCTGACTCTCCAGGTCTCTCTGGGCTGGTTCCCCCTTCCCACTTCCAAGCTCGGCCCTTTCCCGCTCAGTCCAGAGCGGCTCCACCCTGGGTCTCAGACATTCCCCCCTCCCAGCCCCGGGCCCACCAAGATGTCTCAGAAAGACACCAGAGGCCTCCGGTGACCGCGTGGGAGCAGGGTGTTTCTGGTGCTGGGCATGGGCCCTGTCGGAGAGGCAGGTAGGGATCCATTCCCACCATTTTCTCAGAGTTGCTTGCTAGTGACCTTTGCTGATACTGGTCCTTACCTTATTCTGGCCCTTGGTTCCATTACTTGTGCATTTTTACATAGGCCGTTATTTGTACCAAGAGTGCATAAATAATAAGCTTCTGTGTTAGGCACTTGAGATGGGAATAATAAAAGTGAGTAAGAGGGCCGAGGATTTAGCTCAGTGGTTCCAGTGCCTGCCTTCCAAGCATAAGGTCCTGAGTTCGATCCCCGGTACCGGAAAAAAAAAACAAACTAAGAAACATCTGACTTAAGTTCTCCATTAATAAAGCCTTTACCTGGACATGGTGGTACATGCCTGTAATGCCGGTACTCAGGAGCCTGAGGCAGGAGGAGCATCATGAATTTGACCCCAGCTTGGGCTACCTAGTGTGTTCAAGGACAGCCAGAAGTACATAGCAAGACTGTCTCTTTTCTTTCGCTTTTTTTTCTTTTGGTACCGGGGATCAAACTCGACCTTGCACTTGCCAGGCAGGTGCAGTGCCACTGAGCTAAATCCCAGGCCCTCCTTTTTTTTTTTTGAGATAAGGTTTCACCATAGGCATATGTCACTATGACTGGTAACCCTGTCTCAAAAAAAAGAAAAAAAGAAAAAATCAATAAGGAATTCAAATTTCAAACAGATGGGAGAAGTTGACCAGCAGCTAATCAAAAAGCACAGTCTGGGGCCTGGGATTTAGCTCAGTGGTTTTGCCACCTGCTGCGAAAGCACAAGGACTCGAGTTTGATCCCTGGTACCAAAAAATAAATAAATAAAATAAAAAAGAAGCAAAAGCACAGTCTAAAGCCAGATGCAGGGCAGACAGATCTGCACTGTGGTGTGTAGGGTCATTCTAACCAAGGGGCTGAAGAAAGCCTTTATGGAAAACATACCATTGGTGAGGGCTGTGCTCCCTGTGAATATTATGGAAGTACTCACGCCTTCTGTTTCACCTGTGTCTTTTCCTAAATCTACGAGAGTGTCAGTCTGCCACACTGCCAATCTGAAGTGGGATTCCTCAGGCAGGAAGGAGTACTAGACTGGTGTCAGGAGACAGATTCTGTTTCTAGTTTGGGGTCTCCAGCAAAACACTTAACTTTCCTAGCGTACAGATCCTTTTTACTTAAAAAACAAAACCCGTGCGGTTCTCAATGAGGGAGCTGACTCAGGAGCTGTGTTACAAGCTGGTTTAAACTTCATGAACCCATAGTGTCCTCCAGTGTTCAGAACCAGGTCCCTTGCTGAGGTGCCGCTCTCTGACTCCTCACACAGTACTCAGACATTCAGTGAAGGCCTGCACCTAGCACCCGGCCGAGACCTATCAGCGTTGGGAACTCAGACATCCCACCCTTGAGCTTCTCCCGATTCTTGCCCTTAAACCAGAGCTCAGAAGTTTCTGCTTGTTCTTCCAACCTTTCCACACAGAACAGTGCGCTCATGATGTGCACGCAGGGTGTTTCATACGCCTGCCTGTGTGTAGCTCTCTGGAGAGATCATGGCCCACAATTTCCCAGGCCATTAGGTCCTGTGAGCTCTGACAGTGGCCAGTGACACCGCAAGTGCAGAGACCCCACACAACTTCACCCCCGCCTCCCCACATATGTGAGCAGAGGTCGCTCTTCCTACAGTTGCCACCTCTACCCACGGCGCCCTCTTAGCACCCCACAGGTCTCCCTCATGCCAGCCTGTCTTTGAAGGTCCCTGGAGCTGGCGGGGTCGCAGGCCCTGAGCGAGCAGGCAGAACTCATCTCTCGGCAGCTGCAGGAGCTGCGGCGGCTGGAGGAGGAGGTGCGGGGCCTGCGGGAGACCTCGCTGAAGCAGAAGATGAGGCTGGAGGCCCAGGCTGTGGAGCTGGAGGCTTTGGCACGGGCTGAGAAGGCCAGCCAAGTTGAGGCTGAGGGCCTGCGCGCCGCCTTGGCCGGGGCTGAGGTTGTCCGGAAAAACCTGGAAGAGGGCACCCAGCGGGAGCTGGAGGAGGTTCAGAGGCTGCATCAAGAGCAGGTGAGCTCAGGGCAGGAGAGGTTGTGAGCGAGCTGGGCAGCAGCTCCGAGCGGAGAGCGGCTGTCACAGAATTCCCTGGAGCAGCCTAGCCCCGAGGTCTCCGAGAGGAGTAAAGCAGGGCCCTGGAAGGGCCGAGCCTGGGTGTGGGGCTACTCAGATCTCACTTGCTTCTCAGGGCCCAGGTGGCTTCCCATCCCCCGAAGGCCTTCTTGCTCTTTCAATAAGAAGTAGTTTTCCTCCCTGTTTTACCTCACATACCCGAGTCATCTGGGAGCCTCGTAAGGGGCAGTGAGGAAGGTGGGCCTGGGCCCCACAGAGGACTGGGAAGGGGGTTATCAGGCAGGAAGCTTGGTGCTGCTCTTTGCCAGCCCTGGGTCAGGAGCTGGGGACTCAGTGAGCAGATCTCCTGGGGCCCTGCATTCATGGATGGAGCTGGCGGCCTAGCTGATGTGTAGGTCACTGAGGTCCACAAGTGGGAGTGGAGGCTCGAGGTCAAAGCAGGGGGGGCTTAGGAGGCCCTGATTTCGGGCACGCTGGGCCCTGCTGAGCTTGCTCTTCTCCCCACAGCTGTCCTCCCTGATGCAGGCTCACCAGGAGGCTCTGGCCAGTTTGACCAGCAAAACTGAGGGGCTGGAGAAGTCTCTGAGAAGCCTGGAAGCCAGGAGGGCAGGGGAAGCCAAGGAGCTGGCTGAGGCCCTGAATGAGGCTGAGCTGCTGCGGAAGCAACTGAGGTAAGTGTATGGCGGTGCCAGTAGGGGTCCCAGGGGTTGGTAGCCCGAGGGGCTCCAGGGTGCCTCACTAATGGCAGCTCTGTTTCTACCCTGACCCTAGCAAGACCCAGGAGGACTTGGAGGCTCAGGTGGTCCTGGTTGAGAATCTGCGGAAATATGTGGGGGAACAAGTCCCTCCCGAGGCCGGCAGCCAGGCGTGGGAACCTGAGCGGCAGGAGCTTCTGGACACCGTGCAGGTGGGAGGCGGGGTGTGGCTGCGGGCTGTCAGGTCCCCGCCTGGTGCAGCCAGTGGAGGAGACTGTTGCAGGGTTGGTGCAGGCCTGAGACACGCTTCTGCCCCCGCAGCGCCTGCAGGAGGACCGGGCTGGCCTGCACACCACTGCTGAGCTGCTACAGGTGCGTGTGCAGAGCCTCGTGTGCGTGCTCGCCCTGCAGGAGGAGGAGCTGACCAGAAAGGTGGGCCCCGGGCAGCGCTGGCACTGGGCCCTGCGGGTGGCAGGGCTGGGAGTGCTGCCCGGACCCACACAGACCTCGCTTGCTTTTGCTGTGAAGCAGAAGCTTGCTCTGCTGCTCAAGCAGGACAGAGAGGTGCCGAAGGCCGGTGGCATCTCTTCCTCTGCTCTGCCAAGAGCCCACACTTCCTGTCCGCAGCTCCCGCCTTCAGACTCCCTGGAGCCCGAGTGTGTGAGGAAGCATCAGTCCTTGCTGAGCCGCTGGCGGGAGAAGGTGTTTGCCCTCCTGGTGCAGCTCAGGTCCCAGGAGCTGGAGCACAGAGACTCGGTGAAGGCGCTGCAGGGACAGGTTGGTGGCCCACACCTCCCCACGTCTTCCCCAGGCTCCTTGCACTAGGGTGCATTCATTCAATAAATGCTTTCCGAAGCGGGGCACTGTGGCACATGCCTGTAATCTCAGCATGCTGGGAGGCTGAGACAGGAGGATCACAAATTCCCGCCCAGCCTGGGGAATTTAATAAGACCCTGTCTCAAAATAAAAAGTTAAAAAAAACCAAACAACTGGGGATGTAGCTCTGTACAAAAGCCAAAAAGAAAAAAGCTTTCCACGTGCTGGGACACAGCCCCGAAGAACAGACACGTCCCTGGTCCCTGCCCTCAGAAGCGCACACCCCAGGGTGGAGACTCAGTGAGGGAACCGCAAGCAAGTGCATGTGCTGTAAAGGCATTTCAAAGGACCAACAGGCCCTCGGGACCGGGTAGCCTGGTAGGGGTGGTCTTGGGGGATGCTGCCCAGCCCTCTGTCCTCCACCAGGTGGCAGAGCTCCAGGAACAGTTGATAGCCCAGAGCCAGGAACGGGCCATCCTGCAGCGGTCCCTGCAGGACAGAGCTGCGGAGGTGGAGGTGGAGCGGATGGGCACCCAGGTTGGTGACTGAGGGTGGGCGAGGAAGCTGCCGTCTGCGGGCCACGCCCTGGGAGGAGGACCTTTCCTGTACTGCATCCTCCCCAGGTCCTGCAGCAGGAGCTGAGCAGAGCTCAGGAGGCCCGGCAGCGGCAGCAGCAGCAGACAGCCAGGGCGGAGGAGCAGCTGAAGCTGGTGGCCGGCGCCGTCTGCAGGTGTCTGGGGTGGGGGCCGAGTGGGGAGCATCTGTCCCCCTAGATCCTCCAGCCTCCGGGGCCCTGGGGTGGGAAGGCTGCGGGCAGTGGGGCAGGGACGCTGGCAGCCCAGGGTGCCTGGCTGGAGCCTTCTGCCCTCGCAAGACTCCCGTGTGGGACTTCTCCCAGGCACCGCCCTCAGCCCCTTGCCACTGTGAGCCCTCGCTGTGTGGGCTGGAGGTGAGGCTCGGTGCTTCCCAGCAGTCCGTCTGGCGAGCAGCCCAGGCAGGTCTCCGCCTCAGGAATCCTCAGGGTTGGGGTGTGGGTACATGGTCTCCTCCCTCCCTCCTTTCCTTTCTCACTTTTCTTTTTTTTTTTTTCAGTTTACTTGCTTTGAGACAAGGCCTCACTGTCTAATTCAGGGTGGCCTTAGACTCATAGCAACCCTCCTGCTTCAGCCTCCTGAATGCTAGGATTACAGGCATCACCATGCCCTGCTTTCTCTTTGCCATTTTATAAGCATGTGCTGTTTGGGGAAAAACAAATCAGTTTATTTGATTAAAGCTATCCCCACTTGCTTACCAGATAGCCATCTAAGTGTATGCCAAGGTGTCTCTCACTCAGCTGTAAGCCCGTGTTCCAGATGACTTCCTGGTTGTTTGTTTCTGACAATGGTTACACAGTTTTTAGCAGCAACTGCTAAGGGAAAACAAAAGCTGCTTTGTAGCAGTAACAACTTCCGCCCTGCCTGAGCTCCCAGTCAGGCAGTGAGGTGCAGCCTTTAGCCCAGAGGCTGGCTTTGATGGTGGAGCAGATAACAGTTTTAGGTTTTATAAAATTATGATGCAGGCTGGACCCTTGGTTACCATACTGTTTTCTTGGATTTGTACCTAGGGGCTCATTCATCCTAAAAATTATGAAAACAGCCAGGCATGCTGGTGACATACTCCTGTAATCTCAGCATTTGGGAGACTGAGGCAGGAGGATTGCTGTGACTTTGAGGCCAGCCTGGAGTACATAGCAAGATCCTGTCTCAAAAAACAAAACAAAATATGAAAACTTTAGCTATGACTCAGTGATAGAATGCTTGACTTGCATACATAAGGGCCTGGGTCCAATCCCCAGTAAGCACCTCCCCCAAAAAAGATACAGATTTTATTTATTTATTTAGGTACCAAGGCTCGAACTCTGGTCCTTGTGCTTGTGCAGCAGGCGGCGAAACCACTGAGCTGAATCCCTGGCCCAAGATACAGATTTTATTTTATTTATTTATTTTTTTTAAGATACAGATTTTAAACTTGGTCAGAATTAGATGGTTATGAGGACCCCTGCCCACACTCAATGCACGGCCTGTGCCTCCGGCCCATGCTGGGGAACCTATGGCATGTGTGCTGCAGCTGAAAGCTCTAAAAGGTTCGCCATCACTGCTAGAACAGATTCACCTGGCCAGGGCTTTCCTTTGGTACCAGGAGATCCTTGAAGTTCTTTTGCTAATGATTTATTACCAAGGCCTCCAGGCTTGCAATGGTGGGAAGTGGTGTTGTTGCCGGGTTTGTCAGTGACTGTGGTGGCCTGGAGACTTTTATCAGGAAACAGCTCCAGCAGTCACCGTGGGTGTTGGAAGTGCCCTCTGCCCCCAGGGGAAAGTGATCCTCCCTGCCTGTTCCCACTTGTTCTGCTGCTGGTGGAGATGTGAACTCTCCTGAGAAGGTTGCAGCCTGGTTATGCCCTGGCCTCTCCCCGGGGTCTGTTTCGATCCTGTTTTCCTGAGCCACGTGGGTCCTGCTGCTGGCCCAGCCAGTTGATGTACCACAGGGACCTGTGCCCTGCACTCCTTCCGGAGGGTGACTTGCTGTCTGATGCACCATGTGGTCAGAATCAGGTTGAAAGAAGTAAACTTAGCAGTTTGCCTGGAAAGCTACCCGGTCCGCCACATGTGGTGTCACACACCTGTAATCTCAGCACTCGGGAGGCTGAGGTGGGAGGATCACAAGTTTCAGTCTAGCCTGGGCAATTTAGTAACTTTTAGAAGACCCTGTCTCAAAATAAAAAAGGGCTGGGCATGTAGCTCAGCGTGAAGGTCCTAGGTAGAGTCCGCAGTACTGGAAAACAAAAACCAACAAAACCAATGGTGGCTATGGGTTTTCTTCCTTAGAAACAAACCTAAATTCACACATCACAAGTATGTCAAGGCTGACAGTGCCAGACCCTGCACCCCAGAGCAGCATCAAGCAGGGGAAGAAGTCAAGCTTAGCGATAGATGAATCTGCCTCACAGTGCCTGCAAGCTTGTTTTGGTTTGGGTTTTTTGTGTTTTCTGAGACGATCTTTCTGTGTAGCACAAACTGGCTTTGAACTTGCAGTGATCCTCCTGCCTCAGCCTCCCGAGTGCTGAGATTACAGGCATGTGCCGCTATGCCTGGTTAGAATGGGGCACGGTACTGAGAGACTTGAACCAAGAGCCTTTGCACTAGCTACAGTTTTGCTTTTTTCACTTTTAAACAGGCTCTCACTAAGTCAATAATTAGGCTCAAACTTATGTTCTTGTTTCACTTTTGTTGCTGGGACAAAATACCCACCCTTCACAGGTTAAGGAGGAAAGGTTTATTTCAGCTAAGTTTGTAGAGGTTTCAGGCCAATCAGCTGGCTCCAAGGCAGGGTGGCGTGGCAGAGGAGAAACAGTGCATGGCAGGGAGGCAGGCAGCAAGCAGCAGCAGTGAATCCTTTCCCTTTTATCCCACTGAGGCTATAAGCCTTTTGGGTAGTGCCATACACACCCGGGGTGGACCTTCCCATTATCCACATCCAGAACTGATAAACCTGTCAGTGGACTAATTTAGTTACACATCCTTAATCCCAGTGTGACACACTGCAGATCCAGCCACCTCCTGAAAGCCCCGCCTAGAGGCTTTGGGGGAGACCCCTACATACAAGCCACAATAGCCTCTCCTGCCTCAGTCTTCCAGAGTGGAGGTTACAGGTGGTGCCACCATGCCTGGATAACTGGGTTGTTTTTGATACTGACTAAAGCCATTAAGCTCTCATGGTCTCATCGTTTTTCTTTTTTTTTTTGGTTGTCTGCTAAGGATCTCGGGTTTGATTTGCATGGCAGCTCCTGCACCAGGCAGAGTTGTTGGGCACAGAAGTCCTGCCCGCGCTCTACTTCCTGTCCTCCCTCATAGCCCCTTCCCCTGCCTTGCTCACTTGTGCACAGCACAGCATGGATGGTGTGGTCCATCTGAGGCCCCCAGGCCCTTTGAGGGTAGCCGAGGGTGGAGGGTCAGTGTCCTGTGCCCTCTCCAGCTGCCAGATCGCCCTCCAGAGCACCACGGCAAAGCTGGAACAGGCTGTAGCCCGGCTTCCCAGTCTCGGCAACCGACTCAGCTATGCCGTCCGCAAGGTGCACACCATTCAGGGTGGGTAGAGCACTGTGACTGTCCGCCTGCGCCCACGGCCCTGCCCAGCTCCTCCGACCCCACACCCACCCTCCTCGTTCCTGCCCACCAGTCCCTGCGTGTTCTATCTCCCTTTCCTCCACTGCAACCCCCTTTTTTTTTTGCCTTTTCCCTCCCAGGCCTGATGGCTCGAAAACTGGCCCTGGCTGAGCTGCACCTGGAGAGGTGAAGTTGGGGCGCTTTGAGGTGGAGGGGTGGTGTTGGATGCGACCGAGGACGGATGGGGGGGGTCAGGCAGCTGGGTGACTTCCCCGGCCCCATTCTCCCTGCCCCAGCTGCCCCCCACTCGCACCCCCCGCCGACACCGAGGTGCGCCTTGAGCTGCAGCAGCTGCGGGAAGAGCGGAACCGCCTGGATGCAGAGCTGCAGCTGAGCGCCCGCCTCATCCAGCAGGAGGTGGGCCGGGCACGGGAGCAAGGTAGGCCTGGGGGAGCAGCCAGCGGAAGGGGGGAGCCGGGAAAGGCCGAGCGAGCACCCCTCTTACGCCCAGGGGAGGAGGAGCGCCAGCAGCTCAGCAAGGTGGCTCAGCAGCTGGAGCAGGAGCTGCAGCGGGCCCAGGAGGCCCTGGCCGGTGTGGGGCTGCAGCTGGAAGCAGCGCGGCAGGGCCAGCAGGAGAGCACGGAGGAGGCCGCCAGCCTGCGGCAGGAGCTGGCCCAGCAGCAGGAGACCTACGCCAGAGGTGTGGGGACAGCTGGGCGCTGGGCGCCCCCGGAGCGTGAGGGGCGCCTCCTGATGTCCCTTCCTTCGCCCCAGCTCTGCAGGAGAAGGTGGCCGAGGTGGAGACTGGGCTGCGGGAGCAGCTCTCGGATGCGGAGCGGAGGCTGAATGAGGCCCGGAGGGAGCAGGCCAAGGCCGGTGAGAAGCGGGACAGGGCCCTCGCGGGGCGGGCGGCGGGAAGAGTGAGGTCCTTCTTTCCCGCCTTTTCTTGAGCGATGCAAATTGTCACCTGGTGAGCACTGGGTGGCCGGCCCGGTGAGACACAGCCCAGGAGAGCCCAGGCCCCGTGCTCTCCCGAGCCCCTCCAGAGGCCAGCGACACAGCTGGCCGGGGAGTGGTCAGCCCCGGGCGCTCCCAGGGTCAGCCGAGCGCCTCCGCCACGCCTGCGCTCGGGCCTGCCCGCACACGCTCAGACACACTTCCTGAGTCATCTCAGTTGCAAGCACAACTGTGCCCCGGTCTTGGTCTTCCGCAAATGGGAATTGTCGGTAACCGGACCCCGAGCACTGAGGTGGGGCTCGCCGGCGGTCGGGCCTCCCTAAGGACCTCTCGGTGGGTCGGCAGGGAAGGTGCCGGTGCCTCGATGCCTGGCTGACCGCGCCCACGTGCGCGGCTTCTCCACAGTGGTCTCCCTGCGCCAGACCCAGCGCAAGGCCGCGGGGGAAAAGGAGCGGAACCAGGAGCTCAGGCGGCTGCAGGAGGAGGCCCGGAAGGAGGAGGGGCAGCGGCTGAGCCGGCGCTTGCAGGAGCTGGAGAGGGACAAGAACCTCATGCTGGTGGGGACAGCAGGGGCTGGGCTGGGCTGGGCTGGGCTGGGCTGGGCTGGGCTGGGCCCGGGTGGGCTGGCGGATGAGTGAGGGCGTGCAAAGTGAGGCTCGGCCAGGGTGCGGTGGCGTTCGACCCTGTCCTTCCCAGGTCACCTTGCAGCAGGAGGGTCTCCTCTCCCATTACAAGCAGCAGCGGCTGTTGGCGGTTCTCCCCTCCCTGCTGGACGAGGGGAGGCCCGCGGAGTCGAGCTCCAGGCCTCCGGGGTCCGCAGCACCTGTACTTCCAGCGGCTGCACCGTCCACCAGGAAGTCCGGAAGAGGTGATGGGCCAAGGGGGTAGGGGGTGACAACACCCTGGGAACCTACTGCCCCAGCCCTCCGGGCCCATCCCGGTCTCCTCTCCAGGATCCCTCTCCCTGCTGCTGGACAGCCTGCAGGGCCTGAGCGAGGCCATTGCTGAGGAAGAAGCTGTTTGCCAAGGAGACAGCCAGCGCTGTCCGGCTCCAGTCCACGGCTGAGCAGCAGCTCAGGGCCAGGGGAAGTGGCCTGGGGCTGGATCCCAGAGGGAGGACTGGACCCCTGGGGCGGGAGCCCGCCTGAGCCCGCCTTGTCCCGCCACAGCAGTCGCCAGCTTCCCCTAATGAATCTGAGTTCTGCACTAATAAAGAGACTGCAGTGGGTCTGGGAAAGCCGCCTGGGGTGCGTGTGAATTCGCCTGGAGTCAGTGGGCTTCTTGGGCTGTGTGAAGTGTCCCCCAGAGCCCTTTCCCCGAGCCCCTCTGGAGATGTTTTGAGAAGCACTCATTTTTCTTTATTCTCATCTTTTGCTTTAAAGCTTTCTATCCAGGTGTGGTGCATTCCTCGTGTCCCAGCAAGAGGCTGAGGCAGGATGATGGAAAGTTCAAGGCCAGATTAGGCTACTTAGTGAGACTCAAAATAAAAGGTCTGGAGATGTAGCTTAGTGCGAAGGCCTTGGGTTCAGTGTCCAGTACCAAGTAAATGCATAAACTTGTTTTCTCTGGAACATGATAAATGCCAGGCGAGAAGGAAAGCACGCATTCAGTAAGACGGCTGGCACTGTCCAATGGTGGCCTTGCCAGGAGATGTAGAGACAAGAACCTCAGGACACCTGGGTGTGGTGACACAAGCCTGTAATCCCAGCCCTCAGGAGGCTGAGGCAGGAGGATCACCAAGAGTTCCAGGCCAGCCTGGGCTACATAGCAAGACCCTGTCTCAAAACAATTTTAAAAACCTGAGGAAAAAGAAGCACAACCAACAAATGCTAGGAAGAGAAGTGAGGTACAGATGACAGGGACCCTGAGAGGGGCAGGACTAGGGAGGGGACACTAGAGGCCGGAGCTCCCCACCGCCACCGTCCAGTCCTCTGGGGCTCCAGCCCATCACACCCTTGTGCTGAGACCCTGAAGCCAGGGGCACAGGATGAAGGCTGCTAGGAAGAAGCCAGGGCTGGCAAGGAGTTTCGGTTTTATTCTAAGTCAACAGAAAGCCCTTGGTGTATTTTTAGAGCTGTGGTAATTTGATTTGGGTTGTTTATTTTTTTCAGACAGGGTCTCACTGTGAAGTCCAGGGTGGAAACTCCTGGCAATACTGCCTCAGCTTCCTGAGTGCTGGGATTGCAGGTGTGCACCATCACATCTAGCCTGTTTTTTATTTTTTTAAGACAAGGTCTCGTTACAAAGTCTATACCAGCGATGGTGAACCCTTAGAGCTTTCAAACAGCCTGCAGTGGCATGCGTGCCATAGGTTTGCAGAACTGGAAAGTGCTGGGAATACAGGCTGCTGGGATTGATTACACCACCATTGGGCTGGATTTGCATTTCTGAGGTGTGGGCAGAAGTGTGGGAAGGGGAGACAGGCTGGGGAGGGAGGTCCTGAAGCGGCTGGGGTGCCACTCAGCCGGGCTGCAGGTGGGTGGGGTGGGTGGTGCTCCCGGTTCATTCGGCACAGCCCTGCTTCGGCTGGGAGCGACCCAGAGGAATCTGGCTGTGCTGTAGACACTGCAGAGTCCAGGAGGATCAGAAACGGAGCTGAGACCTACAGCGCGGGGCAGGGTGGGGGGGGCCTGGGGGGCAGAAAGCTAGAGTTGAGGATGAGGGTGGGGCCGAGGGGCACAGGGGCCCCTGGGCCAGGAGTGGGGCAGCTTCTTTGGGAACCTCTGGCTGGGGCTGATGGACCCGCTGTGGGTGGGGAGAGGCCAGGACATCATCCTCCGTCTGCGTCCTTGGGTGCCTCCCATTGGAGTTCCATCCCATTGGAGTTCCAGGATGTCACTTCATGGGGCAGCCCCATGGGCCGGAAGGCCACAGCAGCTGTCAGCAGACAGCAGCATGCGTGGGCCTGGGAGGAGGAAGCTCCCTAGCCTTGGGGCAAGGGGCTGCAGCTGGGCGCTAGTGACAGCGGCTCAGGCCCTCGAGGGTCTCGGGGACACCACCAATCGGGGACACCACCAGCCCGCGTCCTGCCCCAGGCCCTGTAATTACGGAGCTTCCCCACTCTGCCTCGGGGCCAGGCCTGCGCCCATTCTTGGCTTCCATAGCTACCAGGAGGAAAGGCGCAGGTCCCTGTGCTTATGGAGATGACAGGTGGGTATCTGTCACTGCAGGGTGTGGATGGCGGGGGCGTGAAAACGGGTGCCGTGACCCAGGGTTGGAGTCACTGACCCGGAGGGCCAGCGGCTGGGTGCTGGGCTGGGGACTAAATGAGAGACAGATGCCACCCCAGCTACCTGCGGGCCAGGCCTTCAGACGGGTTTGACCAGCTGGGTGCTAATGGGATTTCCTGTGTCACTGGGCGGGCCCTCCCTCCCCAAAGACCGGCTTCCTCCCCTACAAAGGCTCTTGGGGATCCCAGGTGCCCAGACTCAGCGCCCCATCTTTGGGAGCAGACAGCCATGAGGCTCAGCTGGCCGCTCCTGGGGGTCCTGGTCCTTTGCCTGTTCGCTGGAGGTGAGCTGGGAAGATGCCAGGGGTGGATGTAGGGTGAGGAGGTGCCCGAGGGGACCCACCCTTGGGAAGGTGACCATTAAGGAGGCAAGGGATACACTGGGCAGCTGCACCAAGTGGAGGGCACTCGGGAGCTCCCGTGAAGGGGAGAGTGCGCAGCATGTGGGGTGCAGCCAGGACGTTGCTGGTGAGTGAAGCCTCGCAGGGTGCAGCTGTGTGGCGTACTCATGGGAGCCAGGGTCTGTGTTAAGGACAGTGGGGGCGCTGCACAGGTGCGGTCGGGGAGCCTTCTGGGCCAAGCTGTAGACCACTTTGGGTGCAGACCAGGCCAGGGCCAGGCCAGTGGGATGTCGGGCAGGCGGGTGGAGTTCCTCAGGAGAGGGGAGATCCAGGGATACAAAGGCGGTCAGCCACGCAGTGCAGAGCTGCTGCACTGTGAGATCGCTCTGGAACTGGGTGCCTTGAGTGACTGAGGTGTGTGGGCCCGGCTCAGGCTGTCTGCCCCCAAGGCTCCGCCTCCTGCCCTGTATCGGGTTGTAGGGGAGAGTGGCCCTCACTACCTCTTACCATTTTTTTTAATCTTTCTGTTTGTTTGTTTGTTTGTTGAGACAGGGTCTCCTTTGTAGCCTGGGCTGGCCCTGAACTCACTATGTAGCCCAGGCTGGCCTCCCACTGGTCCTCCTGCCTCTGCCTCCAAGCGCTGGGATAACAGGCATGTCCTACCGTGCCCGGGCCTTCTCTTACCATTCTTCCTCCTCTACAGGCATCTTGGGCAGTGAGGACCACTCCTCCCCGCCATCCACAGAGGCCAGGGAAGAGGAGAGTCCCCCACGTTTGCCTCTCGGCCCTCCAATCCCCGGAGAGCCCTGGCCAGGGGCACCCCCTCTCTTCGAGGACCCTCCCCCTCCAGGCCCCAGCCATCCCTGGGGAGACCTGCCTGACAGTGGAGTGTGGCCCCCTGAGGCCCCTAGCACTGATCCCCCCCAACCTCCCCTGCCTGATGACCCTTGGCCGGCAGGACCCCAGCCCCCAGCAAACCCCTGGCCACCTGCCCCTGAGGTGGACCACAAACCCCATAACGAGCCAGACCTTGACCCTCCCCGGGAAGAATACAGATAGTGGGGATCCCCAGGGACTTGGGCCTCCAGGCAGAGTGGACCCAAGCCCATCTCTGCCCTCCTGCTTCCTTTTACACTCTCTCCGGTTTCGCCAAAGTCATTATTCCTTTCCTCATTCCCTCAATTTTATTCTGAACTCGATGTCCTCAGAGTTTTGTCCCCTCTGGGGATCCACATTTAGCCTGCACATTCCCCTTCCTTTTTTTCTCTGACATCAAAGTGCACACTCCTGTCTCTCAGTCCCCTTCCTCCACCTCCTCCTCCCTATCCCTGGGACCTGGGATGCTGGACAGGGCCAGCAGCATGGCCTCCCCACTGCCACCTGGTGGACTACAGCCGAGACCCATCAGTAGACAAGGATGGTGCCTCTGTGAAATGGAAATAAAAATGTTTTCTTAATTCTGAATCTAGGCTGCTTCTGTACAATGATTAGGTCTTGAATATTCAGATCCCTTCTTTTTTTTTTTTTTGGTACGGCGGATAGAACTCAGGGCCTTTCGCTTGCGAGGCAGGCGTGGTACCACTGAGCTATCCCCAGCCCTTCAGATCCCCCCTTTACAGCCATAAACTTACCAATCCAGAAGTGACCGGGCTTCTGGCCCTGCCCATGGGCCAGGCAGAAGGACACGCGGCTCGGGCGCAGGAGGACTGGACGTGCACCTGCCAGAGTCTGGAGGGTACCAGACCCACGCTCCTGCCTTTCCAGGAGCCCCTACTGAAGAATGGCAAATCAACTCAGGCCTTTCTTTAACGGCATGTGGTTTGCATATATCCCTGGGTACGTGCAGACTCGCCGAGGGGCAGTGGGCAGTTTTAAGGGACTCAGTTTCCAGAGGTGCACGTTCCCCTTCCTAAAACCCATCTCTCGCCAACTCTGATCCTGACCTGGGTGGTCTTCCTGGAGTTGGTAAAGGTCAGTGAAATATAAATTGGCCCACTCCACTCCATGGAGGGGTCTTTTCTCCAGGCGCAGGGCCGCATGCCTGTAATCCAGCTCCCTGGATTTGGGCAATTTAGTGAGACAGTCCAACTCAAAGAACCGGAGTCCGGACTTCCTAATGGTCTAGCGTCAGTCAAGTGGCTAACTAGGGGTGGGCTGAAGAGAGCCTAAGAGAAACTCCGGTGTGTGCTCTAAGTTCACCCACAGGATACCCAGCTTGCTTACGTGGTTACTCCCACTAAAACCGACAGGTGACAAAATGAAACTTTTTTTTTTTTCTTTGTTACCGGGGATAGAACTCCGGTCCTTGCACTTGCGCAGCAGGCGGCGAAACCACTGAGCTAAATCCCCGGCCCAAAATGAAACTCTTAGGTTTAGGGTTAAAGAATAATCTTAGGGGCTGGGGATTTAGCTCAGTGGTTTCGCCATCTGCTGCGCAAGCGCAAGGATCCAAGTTCAATCCCTGGTACCAAAAAAATAAACCAAAAAGGATAATCTTAAGGCCAGGGATTAAAGAAAGAAAAAGGAAGAAGAGGAGGAGGAGGAAGAGAAAGAATTATCTTAGAACACATAAGAATTGTAGAATAGTGGTGCTTGCCTATAGTTCCAGCTTTTTTTTTTTCCTTAATTTGTTTTTTGGTACCGGGGATCGAACTCGGGACCTTGCGCTTGCGAGGCAGGCGCTGGAACCACTAAGCTAAATCCCCGGCCTAGTTCCAGCTTTTGGGGAGGCTGAGGCGGGAGGATCTCCTGAGCCCAAGAGCTCAAGACTAGCCTGGGCAACAAGGAGACACTGTCTCAATAAATAAGCAAATAAAACAACTGAAAAAAGAATCGTATGGGTAAGGCCGGTAGAATTTAATTGGCCGAGAGGTAGGCCAAATTCACCAGCTCAATTCAGTCCACTCATTCATCCATTTACAATATCTGCCCCTTACTCTGCCCACCAACGCCGGAGTCTCGGAAGCTATAACACGAAGAATCAGCGTCGTTTCCACTCGCAGGAGGATGAAAACGAAGCCAGGAGAGGCAAGGTTAAATACCAACACCACAGGTAGTGAGGAAACACATAATTAAGTAAGGACAAGAGTGAACACCAAAGGACGGGCTTTGCAGCAGCGCCCGAGTTCGGCGCCCGAGTTCGCCGCCCGCAGGACCCGGCGCAAGAGTGGCTGCGCGGGAGGAGGGCGGGGAAAGGGGGACCCAGCCGCAGTACGGCGCAGGCGCGAACCCCCCTCGCCCGCGCAGGCGTAGGAGCTCCCCTGCGGCTGTGCCTTCCCTGCGGATGCTGGCGACCTTCCGGGGCCCGCGAGCCAGCCCGTGGGTGCTCGGCGGCGGCGGCGGCGGCGGCGGCAGGCCCGTCTCCGTGTGGCCTCTCCCTCTGCGGGTGGCGTCCCTCTCCCAGGTAGTCGTTTCTCCCCAGGAAGGCCACTCCACGAACCAGTATCTGAGCAAATGGAAACATTGTCCTCCAGCAGGGTCTGGCTCAATTGCCCAAGCAGGTCTGCAACTTGCGATTCTCTTGCCTCAGCCTCCCCAGGAGCTGAGATTAAAGTTTACTTGAATCTTTTTTTTTTTTCTTTTACTTGAATCTCTGTTTCAGAGTCTGTTTCTGGGGAATCTACCCTAAGAAGAAAAATGATTTGCTACTGATCACCGCAGCATTTTACCTGGCACGCGCCCTGGGGCACTGTTGCTAAATGTTTCATAAATTAAGCTCTCGCTTAATTTGCACAATAACCCTGTCTTGTCACCATTTTGAAGAAGAGAACAGGGCTGAGGGAGGCAGTGATTCATGCAAGGTCACTTGGGACCAATTACACAGCTGGGATGTAAATTCCTTTAAGTTTTTTTTTTTTCTGGTACTAGGAATCGAACTCAGGGCCTCACACTTGCCAGGCAGGCCATGTACCGCTGAGCTACATCCCGGCCCCAAGGGATGTAAATTCTGCTCCGTGCTAGGCTAACAACTCTTGACTTTAACCACTACGCCTTCCTCTGTCCCTACCATCTGTGGGACCCGACACAGTACAGCGCCTGGGCCGTACTGGATGCTTCTGTGTGTCTTATGAGTGGCAGAGTCCGTTAAGGACGTCAGGTTCTGGCAAGAGGTTAGACTGAGCTGGCTGCAGTGAGGGGTTTATACCTGGAGAAAAAGGTGCTGTTGGCCAGGTGAGTTGGGAAGATGAGTGCGGGTCTTGGTGCAGGCTCGGGCGCTCAGGTCCGAGAGCTCCTCTGTCAGGCCTGTGCCCAGGCGAGGAGGGGGTTGCGTCTGGGTACCTCGTGGCAGAGAGGTAGGGGGTCTGGGATGGAACGGAAGAAGGAAGTCTGGACCCCTCCCACTAACCCAGCCTCCGAGATGGAGTTGGCTGGGAAAGGAAAGAGAAAGATGTTCTTATAGGAGAGAGGAAAGGAGGGAAGGAGACTGAGTTCCTGGTGTGGCCCAGGGAAGCTGCTAGGGCTCTTGACCGCACGCTGCCTTATTAAGCTCCACAGGTCATATCGGTTTCCATGTCTTTCTTCTCATATAAAGTTCAAGTTTCCTGAAGCAGGGACTTGGCTTTGCCTGTTTTTCTGCTCTTTACTTCTCTGAAAGACATTATTAGCTCCATTTGGCAGATGAGGCAGTTACTCTGAAGCCAGGCGTGATAGCATGTGCCTGTAATTCCAGCTACCTGGAGGCTGAGGCAGGACGATCGTGAATTTGAGGCCAGTCTGCTTCCCCCCACTCACAGAGGAAACTCCACTGAGTACTCGGAGAGGTAACTTCCTGTCGAAGGCATATCAAAGTTAGGACCAGGTGCAGGATTGCTCGGCTCCAAACCAATCCTTTTCACTTTGATACAACAGGTGGGTGAGTGAGAGGGAGGAGGAGGAGGCGTGAGGTAGCTGGGGATTTTTATACCTATTAATAGGCAGTGGGTATTGGCACTCAAGCATGCCGTGTTTATTAGCTGGGCAGGAGTCTGCGTGGGACCCGGTGGGGTGCAGCATTCACACAGGGAGACCCATTGTGCCCGCTGATGCATTCGGGTTAGGCAGTTCCCACTCCTCTCCACCTGCCATGTCTGACCCCACCCATGGGTGCGTATGGTAGAGACACTGTCACATCCAGTGTCAACATGGAGTCATGGGATTAAATAATAGATAGGATCACAGGTTTACGGAACAATAGCCCAGGACCTCGGGGATGCCAGAAAGTCCATGAACGCTTGACCAAGGGAAGACAAGAACTGAGAACTGGTGTCATGGTGTGATGACGGAAGCTGAGCTGCCTGGCAGCACGTCGGGCACGGCCTGCAGCCTTGGGCCGGCCACTGCTGTCTTTGGATGAGACGGGGAAGACGCTTGTCGCCCTGCCTTGAAGATTGCCAGCCAGGGAACTCCAACCTACCCATTTGTTCCCTGTCTGCCCACACAGCCAGCCTTTGCCGAGCGAGCTGCTGCTGTGTGGGTGCTGGGTGGCGGTGCCGGTCTCAGGAAGCAGTTTCAGCCCTCCCTGCCCTCAAGGAGCTCTGTGTCTAGGGAGGAAACAAACACGTCCACTGTGGCAAGAAGATGTGATAAAAGTTAAATTACAGAGGGCACAGCTGAGGTAGGAGCCCAGGAGGGAAGTCCCAGGTCTTCTGCCCATTACTTGTTTCAGATCTCTTTGACTGAAAAGTTGTTTTAAACTTGAGCTCTCTTACAGACAGACAGTCTCTCTCTCTCTCTCTCTCTCTCTCCCTCTCTCTCTCTCTCTCTCCCTTCCTCCCTCCCTCCCTCCTCCTCCTCCCCTCTCCTGCTTCTGGGAAGGGGTCTCCCAGGCTCAAGGGATCCTCCCAGCTCTCCCCCGGGTACCTAGGACCCGGTGCGAGCCATCGCCCTGGCTCCACATCCTTACAGGCGCACTCGGCACCCGGCACTGGTTTGAAAGACGTGTCCAAATCCACGCAAAAGTTCTCAAAGGCAGTAACAGACGCCCCAGCCTGCCCTTTGCCGCATGATCCCAACTCCGCTCACAGTGGCGAGAGCCGCAGCTTGGGATCGGCTCTGGATCTCGCTGGAGAAGCCCCCCGCCCCCGCCGTCCTCTGCGTGACCCCGGCACGGTGCTGAGCGGAGCGCGTGCGTGTCTCCCACTCGGCCACCCGAGGGCAGCCTGGCAGCCGCTTCTCCCCGCGCCCTCCTCGCTTTTTGCCCCGGTTACCCCCTCCCTGTCGGCACACGGGACAGTCCTCTCAGTCACCGAGGAGACCCAGGCATGGGACTGCGGCAGGGCAGGCTGGGGAGAATGCGGGCGCAGACTGCTTGGGTCGCTTCTACTTTCTGACTTCCTTCCGGGCAGGCAGGCGGTAGAGGCGCGGGTCGAGGGTCCCTCCGTCCTGGGGGCAGTGAGGGCGCAGCTGCGCAGAGCAGGCCCCAGGAGGAGGGCGGGGAGGGGTTGTGGGGCTGGGCCACGCTTTCAAGTAGAAGAGTCAT